TCTCTATCAGCTTCAGTGAGATAATTATCCCACCAACCTTTGAGTTGGCCAGTAAAACCAGCAACGAGAATATAGACAATGGTGTCTTCAGGCATATTTTGATTAGTAAAATAGCCCATAGCGACAACCGACATATTTTGGAGTTTGGCAATGATATTATATTCAGATAATCCATCGATATTCCAAATATAAATATCATTAGAATTGAAACTTTGAATAAAATCTTGCTTATCTTCTAAAATAAGGTCAGGAGCAGTAGCTCTATTATAATAAAGCTTGAATGAATTTTTCCAATTGTTGATTGGATTGATGGTTAAAACAGAGTCTGTTTCAGAACAATGTTCTGAATCAGCCTTGGAAATAACATTAACAGTTTTAGCAAGAGACCTAGTCCTGGGTTTAGCACTAGATTCCTCAGAAGGTTGAGGAGTGTCGGGAATAGTAGTAAGGAGGCTAGTAATTTTACTAAGCAACTCATTCTGGTTTTCCTCATTCACTTTGGCTTTTTCTTTTTGCCTGAGTTCTAAGATTTTCTGCTTAGCTTTGACACTAATCTTAAAAGGTTTAAACAGAGGTTTTTCTAATTGTGGTTGGGAGGATGAAGAGGCTACTTCTTCAATTTTAGGTTTGACAGGATTAACAGAGATTTTTTCTCCCAAAACCTGAAGGTATTTATTGGTATAATTGGCCTGTTCCATAAGGCCTTGGATGTCATGAGGAGTGATAGACTCTTCAGGGTTTTTTGACTTAAAAGGAGTGGCAGTAACAGGGTTACCGCCTTTGTCTTTCAAATTAGGTAATTGGTATTGAGATGTGGGTGGCAAAATCACTTTGGACTATTTGTCCGTCTTTGATTTGCCAGGATATAACATTAGCAGAGGAGGTACTAATAACATCCTCTTGCCAGGGATAATCAATATTATTATGAATAGTATAAGCATGATACCAATCAAAGAATGGGATGTTTTGTTTGACTTTTTCGAGAAATTGGTAGAATTTCTCTTGGATATCAGACCTATTTTTTTCCCTATAATTTTGAAAGAACCACTCTCTTTGAGGTTTCCATTCCTCAGAGTAGATATCTTTCCTAAGGGTTTCCTTATCTATAATGAATTTATGAAATAACATCATAAGACTCGTTAAGGGAAGAGTAAGTTAGAGATTGGATACTCTGATTTTCATCTTCCTTTTCAGAAGTCTGGTAAACATTTTTAGGAATCCTAGAAGAAGTATCTAAACCTTGAAGATTTAGAGAGGGGTCATGATTAACAGACCTAGGAATATCAGGCCTTATATAAGATCTAGAAGAAAAGGATCTTCTAGCAGAGACAAAGTCAGATCAATTACTATAAGCATCGATCCTTGAGGAGAAAGAGTTTCTCCTATCAAATGTTATTTCAACCTTTCCAGAATTGTCCTGTGAGATATCCTGTATTTGAGGAGCAGGACGAGGAACACTGGGTGAGGCTTTATCCATGACCTATTTTTCTGGGAGAGTAACCTCATCCCATTTGATAATTCTAGGTAGAGAAACATTGGCCTTTGTTATATCAGTAATAAACAAAGTAGTTTCTCCTTTTTGAGGCTTAAGAAGGACTTTAGAAGCACAAGAGTTCATGACCTTATACTGAATCCTATAGATTAAGACTGCGGGAATAGATCCCTCTTTCATATCTAACCCATGAAAGCAAATATTGAGAAACAAGGAGTCGAGAATGTGTTCATCCATAAGACTCACAATTTTGTTGGGGAAACAGTTAAAGTAAATAGGACCTTTCCCGAGACTGGTTTCAACTGTTCCTATAAGAGAATCATCAAACTTATTATGACGAATATCTCTTAGACAAATTAAGACAACAACATCTATGCCTATGTCTATCAAAGGTTTAATTGCTACCTGAACACATCCTATGTGAAGGTATTTGTATTTTCTCTTATGATCATTGAGGGAGGATTTAGACAGGAGATGAAATTCTTCTCCTATACCTTTTCCTAAAGGGATATTATTTTCAACAGTCTTGATAATATAATCAGAATTGTTTTTCTTGGGTTGGTCTTCAGGAACATATAATGTATCCTGAGGAATGACTAGGATGGTCCTGTCATCCATACTCTGATTTATCTCTTCAAAATGAACTTCTTCGTCAAAGAGATTGTGTTTGGGTGTGATTTCAGGAGAATGTTTCTCCTGGTCATCAAAGAGATTGGTTTTAGTAGGAGAGGAGGATGAAGAACTGGAGCCAGAGCGAAAGGAAATGCGAGAGAAAGAGCGTAAAAGTCTACATTGACGATGTTTTAATTTTTTCTCAATCCATTGATCAGCATTTTAAACATATAAATGTTTTTATCAATGTTATTAAACAAAACGGTCTTGCCGTTTCAAAATCAAAAATTAGTCTCTTTCAAACCAATGTCAGATTCCTTGGACATAATATCCACCAAGGTACCATTATTCCTATCAGTAGGTCCATTGAATTTGCTGATAAATTTCCTGACAGAATTCTTGATAAAACCCAATTACAAAGGTTTTTGGGATGTCTCAATTACGTAGGAGATTTCATCCCCCACCTAAATAACATCATCAAGCCTTTACATGATAGGCTTAAGAAGAATCCTCCCTCTTGGACTGATGTTCATACCAATGTCGTCAAAGAAATTAAAAATAAAGTCAGGAAGATAAATTGCTTATATCTTCCTATCCCCCAAGCCTTCAAAATTGTTGAAACTGATGCCTCAGACATAGGTTATGGAGGTATCCTAAAACAAAAAATCGAGTCTGATGAGCATATCATTGCATACACTTCAAAACATTGAAATTCTGCACAACAGAATTATTCTACTGTTAAAAAAGAAGTTTTGGCAATTGTTTTATGTGTTTCAAAATTTCAATCTGATTTATTAAATCAAAAATTCTTAATCAGAGTGAACTGCAAGTCTGCCAAAGAAATCTTACAAAAAGATGTTAAAAATCTTGCCTCGAAACAAATTTTTGCAAGATGGCAAGCAATTTTAAGTGTTTTTGATTTTGACATTGAGTATCTCAAAGGCACTTCAAACTCTCTTCCTGATTATCTTACCCGTGAATATTTACAGGATAAGTAACATGCCTAGAAAGGCAATTACCCCTTTCAGGGGAGGAACCACCAGAGGCGGCAAAGTCAAGTTAGCCCTGACTCTAAATAAATCAAAACCACAATCTGCTTCTGCAGATTCAAAAACCTCTTCTTCTGGGTCATCTACCCCCATTGAGTCATCGACTCAAAAGGCAATCCAAATTGTTGAGTCATCAACACAGCAATCTGGAACTCCAAAAGAATCCTCCAAAAAGACCGATTTTATTGTCAAAACTACCAGACAAACCAAAGCAGATTATGCTCTCCCAATCAATACGCTCTTAGCCGTCCAACAAGGAAGCTTGAGTAGCCTACCAAATAAATCATGGGCAGATATTGCCTCTGAAGAAGACATGGAAATAGAATTAGCTAGCCTAAACACCATACTCCAGTCTTTTAATCAAACCCAGAAAACAATAACCAATACAAATAAAACAGAAGGGACCCTTGACCTTCAAAAAGGAAAACAAAAATCCTCAAATCCTAACCATTATGTAGACAAAGGAAAATTTTCCTCAGTTATTCAAATGGAACCCGAATTTTGGGACAAAAACCCATACAAAGCTATCACCAAAGTCTTCCCACCTGGATTCCATTTTAGACCCTATGCGGCAAATAGAACCAGACAATTTTATGAATTTATCTTAGTGGATTCAGATTCAGTTTCCATTAAACATTACAAAGACCATAAAGATCCTTCAATTATAACCCATTCAACAATCCAGATCCTGAAAGTCTTAACTCCAAAAGCTTTTGGAAAAAATTTAAACTCTTATAAAAAGTTTTCCCAACCCTTTGACCCAGTAGGATATAATTACTGGGACTACATTGATGCATGGACAAGAACTTTCTGGCTCCAAAACAAGCTCAACCGACATTCTTGGTTGATATACTTCAAGAGGAATCAGAATTATGATTTTTCAAATTGGTTTCTACAATGGTGGGACTATTTTGGACCAATTGAAGAAATTCTTCCTACACCCGTCAAAGAAGGATATATAATTTATAAAGGCAGATATCTGCGAGAATCAAGAATTCCAGCAGATCTCAAATATTTCTCTGATTTTGCCTTAGCATGGGTTTTCTCATGGCAATACAGATATGGCAAAACAGAAAATGAAGACACTCTTCCTTTGTTGCACAGGTATTCCTTTGTAAAATGGTGGAATCAATTCAATGCCAACCATGCTGGTCCGGAAGGAGTTGCTGAATATTTTGGAAAAAATCCAAAATTACTGAATCTAGCAGACCCGGCAACATTTCAATTTCTCAACCAGAAATTCAAAATTGCAGCCTTCTTATCAGGATGCGACACCAAAGAGAAAATGAAGAAAAATCTTCAAGATGTTCTCCTGCTCTTACAAAGCCAAGAAGAAGGAGAATCTTCTACAAAACAAGAAACTAATATTGAAGATCAAAATGAAGATGATTGTTTTGGCATCGACATCCAAGATCTTTAAACTGGTACTGTAGTAAATAGTTCCAGTTACCAACAGGAACTGTAGAAATAGTACAAAATTTTTCTTTATAAGGAGGCCTCGACCATATTGTGAGGTACCCTTTCATTTAGTAACATAAGAGAGATTTAAGAGAGAGAAGCTCTGAGAGATAATTTCTTGTAAGCCTTCTTCTTCTTTGAGATCTTACAATAAAATTTGCTGTTTTCAAGTTATTTTTCTCTCTTCTCCCTCTTAGCCGGTTCTGTTCGGACTACCGTCGTTCCGGCTTTCTTCTCTTCTCCCTTCACTAGATCTGTGTTGGTTATACCACCGTTCTAGTTTCTTATGCTTTAAACTTACATACTGCACTTTTAATTTCTGCATTTCATATAGTAGTCCTGCTACTGCCTACTTTCCTTTCAGTCTTTTAATTTGTTTATTTTTGTTCCCTTGATCCACTTCGGGGTTATCTGGTATCATATATATATATATATACATACATACATACATACATATATATATTTATACAGGCCGGCCTGTCAGGCCTAACAGACTTTATAAACAGCTCAGACCTGACTTATTTACTTAAACAGGCCTTAAAAAAAGCCTAAGCCTGATTTGTTTATTAAAAAAGCTAGACCACAGGCTCCTGTCAGGCGGTCTGGCCTATTTCCATCTCTAGTAAAGAATAAGATGGTGCTGTAGAAGTACCTTGATAAAAAGGAGATGGACTAAAAGGAGAGTAATAACTTGATTGTACAGGAGATGGAACAAAAAAGAGATTTATTTCTATTTTCCTATTTTGTTGTTTGGCTGCAATAATATCATCCATTTCTTGCAGTTGATTTTTTAATCTCCTGATTTCTCTGTCCTTTTTTTTTCTTCTGTAAACTTTGCAATATCAGTCTCTAACTTGGCTACTTGCTTTTGAGACTCTTTATAATATTTGCGAAGCTTTTCTGATAGATGTTGTAGTCTCTCATCATTCTTCTAGACAGATTCAACTATCTTGTCCATTTTTTAATCCATCTTTCTCAAGATCTTATTCTGAGCTAAGGAGTTTTCACTCTTCCAATTTAAAACTTCCTTAGCTTGAGACAAAGGTTTCAGGCTACCGTTAGCCTGAACTTCTAAAGATATTACTAAAAGCTTACATAAAAGTGTCCATCGAACTTGTCTGAATAGATGGGAGTACCATCAGCTTTCAGCTTTAAAGCTGTATATAGGAATCCTATCCTCTTCTTCTCCAAGCGTGATCATCATAGATTGGAAACATTTGGATGGTAAATTACTTCCAGCGTCAGGTTTTTTAAAGACTGTAGTGACAGAACCATCTACAAATTTTCTGAAAGTAGCATCAAAAGACTAAATCGATTTACTGTTGTGCATGATCTTTTCATAATCTGTTGTCCATTCTATAGGAATTAGTTTGATCAACTCATCCCTAGAAATTTGTCTTGGAATTTGAGTAATGGAAGGGATATCATCTTTATCCCTGTTTGCGACTATGAGCATGTTATCATGGGCTCCACCTGGAATTGGCAGATCATGTGCATGATTCTGCAGTCTATAAATAATCTAGTAGTGGAGAGTTACAGATAGAGCTTCTTCAACTTGTTCAGCTCCAAACAATTGGGTCTGAACTTTTAACCTGGTGAGAAGAGTTTTATCTTTCAGGAAAACATTGTAGTTCAGAAAGATTGTAAGAACAACACTTCCAGCATGTAAAGTGGTTAAGAGGGTAGCAATCAATGCATGTTCATAACGGATGTAGGAGGTGTCTAACAAGGCTATCTTAGCAGAAACAGGTAAAATTTTCCTACTATGTAATGATAGGACTAGCCTGACAGCTCCAAAATAAAGGGATGTATATCCCTCTTCTCTGCAATGGTTTATGAACATTCGAGAAATCTCTAGGTTGATATACTGCTCCTTAGGTGAGGCACTGATTTCACACTAGTCCATTGTGGAGGATTGGACATACTCTTTAGTGGGTGATTTTTTCCTGAGAATGAGTCTATTCACTTTATTGGCAAAAGACTTGTGTCTCCTGAAAACATTGTAAGGACTTAATAGAGGGACTACTTATTCCTCTATTTTTTATTCTTCAGGGACATAGGTATATTGAATCAGGTTGTTAATTTTGTGAGCTGCTGTACGGATACATTCTTTTGGTAGAAAGAGTGATGAATTTAGGTAGATTGAAGAAAGTTCTGTAGCTGTTTGTGTAGTAGTTGTATTTATAATGTTATGATAGCTCTTACTCACTTTATTTATAATGACTATCATATTTATCCCCCCATTCAACAGAGACTTTAGGCTCTGAATAAATATAAGTGTTCGTGACTTTGTTTCAGACAAGGACGACTGTAGATACAGTCTCTCCGGTAGGTGCGTGTCAGCTGTCCAGCCAATAAAATCTGAAGATATGAGCATCAAATAATTTGAAGGCTCTGATACCATTACTAACACGTTTCTTAAACAAATAAATAAACATGGCAATGAAATAAAATAGGGCTTTCAGTCTTGCATGAGCATGACTCCCACACCCCTGTCCGAAGCATCACATTTTACCTCAAAAACTTCTGAAAAATTTGTAAAGTTAAAATGAAACTTGATGTAATGAGTTGTTTCAACTTATTGAAATCCCGTGTCACAATAGTCCATTTAAATTCCTCTTCTTTTTTGTTAACGTTATTAAAGGTTGAACTACCTTGCCATACCTCAGTACAAATTTCTTGTAGTGCCCTGTAATCCCCAAGAAGCTCCTCATGAGTGCCCAATGCCCAGCTCACTCGGCATAATTAACTCTCCCCCCAAATCCTTTATCACGTGCATTGTTATCATTCCTGGAATATACCTTCCATGTTAAGGAATCTCGATTTATGCGATAATCCAATAACTTCATCTTATTTTTTGAGTTACTAGCCTCATGGGTCTCACTAGACAATAATTCAGATAACTTCAAATATAGAGATCGATACTGAATGAATATACATATAAACAAAAAGTTTAATAAATAAAAATATAAAAACTAAAACCTCAAAATTTAGAACTCAAATTAATTTAAATTATAGAGAATGAAAATTACTAGACTAAATTAAATATGCAAGGCTAATTCGTCTCTCTATGTACCAACATCAAATTCTTCCAATAATATGGACTTGACTATTGCCCTCATTTGAAACTTCAGTTTTGTATAAACTTCCCTGCATAAAGTTAGATATGTGAAGGGGAAAATAACTTGCTACTTGAATAACTCACTTTCTAGATACCATCTTACTCAGTTTAGAGATATATATCATTTTAGGGGAGTTTTTATTTTTATTTTTATTTTTATTTCTTATGATAATAATACTTCTGAAATTGCAATTAAAGTAGGCACCAAATTAGGGAAGAAGTAGCACTTTCTTTCCACAAATTGAGCCTTGAAGAGAGCAGGAAGCAATTAAAAGATTCCTTTGTAGTGATCAAATAGCAATGCCAAAACGCTGGCACACAAGATTATACACATTCTGGGTATCAACATTCTTTCACGAGTACTACTCTTTCTGGGTTCAACTATGTTTCTTTGTGTTTCTTCATTATTTACCAAAATTAGTTTCAAAGTAACTACTGCCTTTTTGTCCAGAATATTGGCACGCAATTTAAGTGCAAGAAAAACCTCAAAGTTACTGTTCTTTTTAAAACACATACATTTTCAAGGATTGAAATTTGCAGATTATGAAAAGAGTTTTCATTTCATGACGCCAAAATAAAGAAAATAGAAGCTTCATACTTTATATTTTTACTTATTTTCATTCAGTCACAAACAAATTGAAGAAACAATTAAAATCCCCATTTCAATTTACCAAAAATTGAAATACCATTTATTCTTTTCCCCTTAACAAATTTTCCTCTGTTCACTCGTCATATTCAGGTAAGTAAAATATCACTCATGATCCTCAGTGAAAGCCCTCCTACCCTTATCTTTCTAAAATCTAAAAGTCTTAGTCAACCCTAGTTGAAGAGTCGAAATTTTCCCTTATCACCAATTAAAACTGATAAATACTTAACAATTATTAATTTAGAAGCTAATTTCAAATTACAATTATTATCGACATGTGGTGATAATATATCCACATATTATTGCTATCGACTTGTTTCTAATTAAGAACCATGTGGATACTATTCAAACTTTTTCACATATTCAAACTGTTCACATTACACAAAACAGAAGCAAACTTCATACTATTGAATTTTTAATTTATATAATATTCCTAAACTTAATATACAGCAAATGAACGACAAGATACAAGGAAACAACTAGGGTGATTTCCAAGGAAAACATTGAAGATTATTGCAAGATTCTGTCCATGTACTAGTACAGGTACCTCCAACCCCATCACAACACTTGCAAACAACTCCAAGCGTTGCAAAAATCTTTGAGTACCCTGCAATTATATCACATAAAAAAGAAAGAGGCACACATTAAAATCATAAAATACGTATCAAGCACAATACAAACAAGAGGGGGAATAAATTTAAGAATATTTCTAAATACTAATTACCTTGACCAGATATTAAGGAAAGCGTTCTTCCTTCTACAACTGATGGTTTCTCTGCAATTGAAACAACCAGGATGACCAGCAGCAAAAGCACATGAGCCTTTTTCATACCCATATCATATATTCTGGCCTAAACTTTTTTGGTGCTTTGCTGAGCTTCTAAAACCTCAGAGTGAGAGGTTCAAGAGCCATGGATCCCAGACAAGTGAGTAGCTTTATAAGGGGCAAAACTTGCAGGATGGGTAGTTGCCTAGAAAGTATGTGAGCCACATGATTGATATATTATTATATTGCTACAGTACGAAAAAAGAAAAAATATTTATATTTTTATATTAATTTTAATATAAATAATATGATATAATTATGTTAGAGAAAAATATAATTAGAAAATAAAAAATTATATAAATTAATTATGGATTTTATCAATTAAAATTGATAAAAAAATATAATTTTTAATAATATTATATCACATTAGTTATTAATATGGGAAAATTAAAACTAAAAAATAATAGTAAAGTGACGTGCATAGTGTTGTAACTTTTTGATTTATGTGCTGTCTCCGAGAAGTAAAGGTTGGCTATAGGTCTACCTTGTTTTATTGGATTGTTATGAGTTCGAGACGTTGAATTTGGTCCAGTGGGATCCGGAGAAGACGTGTTCAAATCTTCCATCCTCTTTCATTTACTTGTTTTCCCTTAAAAATAGTGCCCGACATAACGTATATAATTATACGTGTGTGGTTTGACTCCTCTTAAATACACTATACTTTATTATTTAAATTATCTAATTATTAATATCAAAACTTTTTACATGTACAACTTAAATTAAAAAATAAAAATTAAATTTCAATACCTAAAATTAAGATAATAGTTAATTTATATGATTTATTTTCATAATTTATACCATAATTTTAAAGATAATATTTCTTTTGTATCTTTTAATTTTTTATAATGTCTTTTTATTCTTTATCCTTGTTAAAAATTTTAATTTCATTATTATTTAACAATAATGACATTTATATTTTATAATTTTTATATTTGTATAAATAATTAGAATGTACTAATTTTAAAAGTTCTTTTTTTACTGCATATAATCATAAATTATCATGTCAGCGAAAATTGATGACTTCTATAACAAATTTTAAAGAAAAAATTAATCTAATAGTTAATTTTAAAAAGAATGTATGTCATAAATAATATTTTGGCTTTTGCCAATATTGCCTCTGCACAAGATATATTTATTAACGAGGAAGCATATTATGCCTCAGAAACTATCGCTCTCTTAATTAACATAAGTAAATGATAAGACATGGAAAAAAGAACAAACGATTAGAGTTGCCGGAAAGGACACACACAGAGCATGTCACACGTTTCCCAGTTTGTTACGTCTCTCTTGGGCTCGCGACCAAAGGGAGACGTACCACTTTCCTTGTAACCTTTTTAGGCTGTAGTCCACGTTAAAGTCAAGCAATTTCTCTTCTGTACGAATGAATTGACAAAACTTATAATTAGTTTTGTCCTAAGGCTTTTTACATGTTGAAAATTTGCGACAATTTATCATTTTCACTTTCCATTTAGCACGACCAATTCCAATAAAATGAAACTTTGCTTACTTAAATTCAACAAATTTTTCAAAATTTCAAATCTGTGCCTCAACATCCACAACATTATTATCAAATTGAGTAGATGATACGAGGAAATAAAAATCCTTGAAATTATCTAATTGATTACTATTTTTTTATTTTATTATATATTTAATTCATTTATTATGATTAATGTGTGATTTTGATTGCCTAATAATCATTTTGTATGAATTTTGTTAAAACTGATAAATAGATCTGTCTAATTAAGGTAACTCGAACCCTTATGATAAAATGTTCAACTTGAACTTTAAATTTTGAATTTGGATTAAATCTGAATATTTTTGCCATATTTAATTACTAAGTTTGAATACTATTTTACGTACATGTTAAAGTTTGTTGTTAGGAACGAATCAACCCAAATAAATTGAATAACTCGTTTTGTCAAAAATTTTACAGCAATATTATAAAAAAAAAAAATACCCAAATAGAATGAAGGCCAATTTAATTACTAAATTAAATTAAATTTTGGGCAATATTTTGGCACCTAGAATTCGGTTTCCTGAAATTGAATTTTGAGTTGCTTTTATTTTATTTTATTTTATGTTTTAATATAATAAAATAAATATTATTATTTAAATTATATTTATATATTTATATTTTATTAAAATTAATATTTATAAATATTTTATTAGTTATATATAATAAAATAAGTTTTATTATTTGAATTATGTTTATATTTTTATATTATTTAAAAATGAATAAAAATAATAATAAGTAAAAGTATTAAATAATAACTAGTTTATTTATTTAGTTTAGATATTAATCTTTATTAAAATTTATACATAATTATTTATTTAAAAAATATGTTATTAATATTAATAAACATAATTAAATAATATTATGTAGATATATTATATATATAATTATATATTTAATATAAATTACAAATACTAAAAATTTAAAAGTTGCAATGACATTCATAAAATTAAAAATGACATTAAGAAAATTTTAAAATAATAACAACAACATAAATCAATGGCGGGAACTAGAAGCTTGAACAATGTTTGGACATGTCTTTCTTCTGTGACAAGGGGTATGACAATAAGAATAATTTTTTGCCCGACTTTATTGTTTTTTAATATCCATCTCTGTTCTTATTTTACTGGATTTGAGTCGACTATTTGAAATTCTTTTCAGTTCTGGATTTGGACACAAAGTTGGCCCGTGTAAGTTGGCCAATAGTCTTCGTGTCTTAATTCTCCAAACTGACCTTCACATACCTTAGAAACTTGTTGTAAGGTATACATGGAAGATATATAGTTGTCAAAGTTGTGGTGTGTGTGTAAGCATGAAGCAAATACACGAGAGCATGAGATGTGAACTTTTTGAAACTTGTCAAAATTATACTACATTTCATCTAAATGTACTCTAAATCTTCTTACGGGTCAAATTTCTGTCAAATGTTGCATTTCTTTGAATAAAAATCTAGTGTTTGTTCTGTCAAAGGTGATGACTCTATGAGTGTTCACCTTTGACTGTGCACCTTGAATTGCTTTAGTTGCAACCTCTGAGTACATATGTCCAGCATTAATCATTGCATCTACTTCCCTGCTTCTGTCGATGAAGAACTTATTGCAACGAGTGTATGTTGCATGACCATAGAGCAAATTGGTAGGGTTCTAGTTTTCTTCAAGACTGAATTGATTGACTCTACTAGGTTTATTGTCATGTGTCCCTACCATCGTCCGTTGTCCCATGCCAGTGTTCCTTTTTCCCTTGGGATGTTGTCCAACCATTGTGCAACTTCAGAATTATTATCTTTTACTATGTTGTAATAGTAAAAGAATTTCGGTTCAGTCATCCCATATGCTGGAAACAAGATTACAAATTAAATTAATATAATTAGCTAAACAATTGTATAAAATATTAATGATAATATAGAGTACGTAAAAATTTAAATTATCCATATTGACGACATCTTTCTTCAGTGCAGCATTTTTGAACCATCGCATGAAGTTTTGTGCAATGTGTCTAATGCAATAGACATGGACAGAATTGTTTTCTGTCCAAGCGCTTCTATTTCTAGAATATGCACTTCTTATGGCTTCGTGACGATTTGAAATGAGGCACAACCCCTCTTGCGGGGTTACGTACCTCCTTAAATTTTTCAAAAAAAAGAACCATGCATCGGTGGTTTCACATTCAACCACAACAAAGACAATGAGAATTATGTTGTTGTGGCCGTCTTGGGCAACTGTCACTAATAAAGTTCCTTTGTATTTGTCATTCAAAAATGTTCCATCCACTTGAACAATTGGTTTGTAGAAGGAAAAACTATCAATGCATGGCTTGAAGGTCTAAAACAACCTCTTGAAGAACACATTCCCCTCATCAAGCAAGCTACCCTTGTATGTCGGTTGTGTACTTAATTTTCAGATGAAGCCCGGAACATATAGTTGCATTGCAAGCAACTGTCTAGGTAACTTATGGTATGACTCCTCCCAATTTCTGAAGATATTTTCAATGACATGTTGTTTCCCCAACCATCCCTTTCTATAGCTGATTGTGCAACCCATTGTGTACTTTATGTGGGCTAAGATGGTTGCGATGGGTATAGATAGATCAGTCTCAATAATTTCACGAATGGTTTGAGAAATCATTTGTGAGCTCAACTTGTTATGATCATGTGAAATGAGTGGGGAAGCACATGTGTGGCACCCTTCAAGCTTCATTATTTTTCAGTGTTGCTCTTTGGTGCGCAATATAGCGCGATATCTTTAAGCACAGTCGTTGTGAACGCATTCCACGATAAGCCTAGTTGTGCTTGACATCTTTACCTTGTAAGTGCAATGATTGACAATGTAAAATTTATTTGTGGCGTCTTGAACTTGTTCTTTTGTTAGAAAGCACTAGCCAACAAATAATGTTCCAGGCGGATACACTACCATTTCACGATTAAGGATATGGCCAAACTCAGAGTCATGTTCTTGTATTTGAGTGGAAAAGTCTAGAAAATGTGGAGGTGGGTTGTATAACGGTAATAGTTGTGATGGTGGAATATTGGAAGTGAGAGGGAGTCTTCTTCATCATCCTGTTGTTGAGATAGGATTTCATCTTCATCCTCGCTAAAAGGATCAAAAACTTCAATAGGAAGACCCACAACAACATGTTCTTCAATGAGAGTTTCTTCAATAGGTTAAGAGGGTAGGGTTTGCTGAAATGATTTGGAGGGTATTTCATTGAGGTCCATGGATGGACCAATTGAAAGTTGTTGTAAGACTGAAGGTCAGAATTCATATCATATGTTGGAAAAGATGGATTTATGGTTTCGTAAGTTTGGTAAGGTGAAGGTGAAGGTGAAAGTTGTGGTGGTTGGGTTATGTTTGTAGCAAATGTAACATATAATTCTATACCTGATTGAAGCTGATTTGAATCGTGGATGTTGAAGAGTGTCTCGACGTCTTCATCATCGTTCAACTCAATACATGTGTAGTTGCTAACTCTCGGGCCAAGTCTAATTAGTTAGCGAAAATGTATGGTTGTCACCCTTTCATTTGAGTCTCGGTTAAGTTTTGTGTGGATGACTTTCTTGAGCCTTTGTAGAGTCACTCCTCTCTTTAGATGTACTAATTTTGTTGATGGTGATGTGAACATGACTCTT